AAGTTTAAAAAAGTTTAAAAGCTGTTTACGACAATTGATCGCTAAGAGTAGAGGTAAATATTCGTGGAAAAAAAGAGGAAAATTGTAGTTCATAAAGGTAACGGTTTTTTACCGTTAATATTACAACCTATTCTAAGTGAAATATTATCAAGAATATTGTAAAAATAACAAAATGGAAAGAGGGAAAAAAATTATTTTACTGTCAAAAGACCAACTCGAAAGAATGAAAAGAGAAAGCACTACCGTAGGGGGAAACCCTGGTCCTTCTACTCCTACAGCCGCAAAAAATTTTTTCACACATTCTATTTTACAAACCACACAGACAGCCGGAGATAACTTGAATCAATTAGACGACTCGATGAAAAAAATTCTAGATTCAAATTCGTATAGCAATGAATACGATAAATTGAAGGAATACTTGAGAGTTTTACACAGGTATTTATACTTTATCGATAAAAAGCGTGAGCCAATGCAGATTGCTGAAAATTGAAAATGAAATTAAAAATATCACTACTTCTACAGATGATTATGGAATGAGCGAAGAAACGATTGTCAGTACTGTACCTAAAGTGTACCAACAAAAATCTATGCTGCTTTTAAGATATTTAAAAGAATACAAAAACAATATTAAGTGGGATATAACAGGTACGGTAATTTATAAAGGTAAAAAAATTGATGGGTCAAATATTATCGATTTAATTAATCATGATGCAAGGCGAAGGAAAAATGTTAAATCGGTGGGGAGAAAAATTTTTGCTAAAGTACTTCGGGAGATAAAGACTCCTCAAGAACTCTTGGGAAATACAGACCTCTTGAAAATCGTAAATCACGACAGTTCAAGCTTGCTGTTAGATGGGACCAGTAATATAAAGTCTCTCGGAGAAGGCGAAGAAACGTTTGAACACGAGACTTTTTCATTACCTTTGGAAAAAACTGTACACGATAACAAATCTAATGATGATAAGCATGTAGTACATTCATCTACACCAAAATCAAGCGGTGTTAAAAGCTGGTTACGATATTAATAATCAACGAATGTGCTAGAGAAACAATATTTTACCCCTAACCATGAAGCAGCATTTTCTAGGGTCTGCAATAAGAGTACATAAAAACAAAATCCCCCGCGAGAAAATCAAAGAGTGGCTGCAAAAACATGATGCTTATACTTTACATAAATCTATTCAGCGAAAGTTTCCATGGTTGTTTTAAGATGTTAATGCTAGAGATGAATTGTAGGAAGCAGATCTCATTCAACTGACGTCATTAAAAAACTACAACGACGGAGTGTCTTTTATTTTAATTGCAATTGATGTATTAAGCAAATTTGTATGGGTGCAACCTTTAAAAGATAAAAGTTGCCGTAATGTAACCGCAGGTGTTAAAAAAATTCTTGAAAAAAGTCAATCTCGCTCGCCTTTTATGTTACAAACGGATCGAGGGACTGAATTTTTAGGCAGTGAATTTCAGCGGTTTTTGAAAGACAATGCTATAAAATTTCGAGTTGCCCAAAACCCTGATGTTAAAGCGGCCGTAGTAAAGCGCGTCATTCGAACGTTTAAAGAGCGTATGTACAGATATTTTACATACAAAAATACATACCGTTACGTAGACGTTTTACAAGATTTAATTGGTGGTTACAATAATACCCCCCACTCTACAACAAAGTTAACACCTAGCAGCGTAACGATATATAATGCACATGTAGTAAGACAAAATTTAGTCAATTCGAGAAAACTTCGCGCAAAACAAAGTCACAGTAAAAGTAAAGATAAACGTAAAGTAGGTATTTATGTACGCATAAGCCGTGATAAAAATGTGTTTGAAAAAGGTGCATTAAAAACTTGGAGTGAAGAGATATTTAAAATTACTCGAATTTCGAAAAGACAAAATTTACATGTGTATTAGCTCAACGATTTAGATGGTGAAAAAATTAAGGAGTTTTTTTACTCTTAAGAACTCAACCCTGTTCACAAGGAGCGTGTCAGCGAGCAGGAGCACAAAATTGACAAGATCTTGAAAGCCAGAGGAAAAGGAAAAAACAAACAACACTTTGTTAGTTGGGTAGGATATCCTGAAAAATTTAATTCGTGGGTAAATTCGAGGGATTTAAAAAACAATGCATCATAACGAGTTTACGATTACTTTACCTAGCAACAGTAGTATAAAGTATTTTCCGAACAACACAACAACAAATTTTTCTACACAGTTACCCCGTGAAGTTGAGCTAAGCGGTAAATGGAAGGTAGGAATTTCCGAGATTCACGCACCATTCACTATTTTGCATGTTCGACGAGAAGAGGCAATGATAATCGGGCCAGGTGAAGAAAAAAAATGTTGTATTCAACATGGTATCTATGACTCTGTACATAGTTTATACAAGGAAATAAATAGAAAATGGTTGGAATATTATCATAAAGATAAGAAATGTCAGCAGCTAATTTATGATCATCGAGGTGGTTTTGTATTTATTGGTTTTCCAATAACAGGATCTGGACGTACAAGAACGTGTGGAAAAACCCCTGTTTTTTCCACTACAGTGAAACGTATTATTGGGTTCGAGGAAGGGCTGACCGAGATCGAGCGTGATCGTCCCAAAATAAGAGGGGATTACAGGTTATTGTTTCACGGTAAACAGCCTGCAAGCTTATCAAGAGCGGTACCTGATCAACTTTTTATCTATTCTAATATATGTGAACCTTGTATTGTTGGTGATACGTTTGCACTCTTGCTGAAGATAGTAAATTTAGCCGCTCAGGAAATTCATTTCGGGAGCAAAATTGTCAAGAGGTATACTCCACCAGTCTTCTCACCCCTCCTTAATAATAGATTTCATACAATTTATATAGATAAAAGAGATCAATTTGGTAAACCAAAATCATTTGAGTTTAAGACACTAACCGTGGTGTTACTTTTTAGGAAAGTTTTCTTTTAAGCGAATCGTTACAAAATGGTTTTTTACGAGGAGTCAAGCATGTGTTTGCGGGGTCATATAGATAGAGAGGGCATGGATAAGGCTCGTTTTTCACTGGATTATTTCGAAGTGCTATGCCCTACATAGTCAGAGGTGCTCGTGCCGTTGGAAAAGAAGCTTTACGAGCGGGAGTGAATATAATAGACGATGTTGAAGACAGCAATATACCTTTTAAAAACGCATTCAAGAATCGGATGAATGAATCCGGTAAGAATTTAAAACGTAAAGCTACAGAAAAAATTGTTAAGTTGATTGAAAGATTGGGATATAATGCTTTACCATGTAAAAAAGAGCACAGTCTCGACGTAGAAGCGGTGGTGCGAACATCTCATTAAAAAGTGCGAAAAAAAGAAAAGAAAAGGTCGATCGAAAGTAGCTAAACGAAGAATAGGTGCGCGTAAAAAAAATAGTAAGAAGAAAAAACCAAACAGAAAAGTAAATAAAGTTGGTCGTAAAACAAAGAAAAAGGCGGTAAAAAATAAAAAATCAAGACGTGTAGATATTTTTGGATAATCATGTCTTTCCTACATAGTCATACGGATCCTCATCTAAAGAGCGAGTGGGATTTATTTTCCGTTCCTCTCACGCAGACAGCATTAGAAACTAATCGATGGGTGAATTACAAGCCTGTTTCGTCGTTAAGTGACGAGAGTCCCATAGAATTCGTTATCAGTTCTCAAAACGAGGATTATATCGACTTGGCCATACGATGCTCAGAGTGAATGTCAAATTAACACCTTACGACAAGGATGGGGATGCGCTTGTAGCCCCAGTGAACAATTTTTTACACTCGATATTTAACCAAGTTGACGTTTATTTTAGTCAAAAACTTTTTACTCCTCTAAATAATGCCTACCCATACAGAGCATACATTGAAACTCTTTTAAATTACGGTCCTGATGCAAAATCATTGCATTTGTCGACAAATCTGTGGGAAACAGATGTTGCTGGTGAAATGGACGAATTACCCGGTTCGAAAAAAAATTTAGCTCTTACTAAGCATCAAGAATATTTAAAAGATGGAAAAACCGCAAACTTAATGGGTCATTTACATTGTGACGTGTTCAATCAGGATAAATTATTATTAAATGGTGTCGAAGTTCGTTTACGTCTAGTGCGCGCAAAAGATGATTTTTGTCTCATGGATGCTTCAACGAAAAATTATTCCGTCAGCATTAGCGAGGCTACACTTCTGGTTCAGCAAGTGAAAATTATCCCTACAGTTTTGATTACGCACGCAAAAACTCTGGCAAACACTACGGCAAAATATCCAATTACGGGCGTCAAAGTCAAATCTTTTACCCTACATAGCGGTATAAACGTCGACTCTTTAGATAATGTTATCCTCGGACAACTTCCGAAAAGAATCACTTTAGGTTTTCTTGACAACAAAGCCTTCAATGGGGATCGAAAGATGAATCCTTTCAACTTTCAAAATTATTCTATAAATTTTTTGTCGTTGTACGTTGATGGTGTACAACTCCCAAGTAAGCCGCTACAACCGACTTTTACAGGAATTACACCTATGTACGTGAAAGCATATCATACTTTATTTTCGGGGACCGGGATCTATTACATGAATGAGGGAAATAGTATTCACACGAAAAATATTAAAGAATGGTACAGTACGAATAGAAGTACGCTTCGAGACAGCTCTTACGAAAACTATAAATTGTGTTTTATATGCTGAATTTGACAACATATTGGAAATTGACTCAAATCGTCAAGTAGTTGTGTATTTCAACTTATAAAAATTCTTTTGAGAGGAAGGAAATAAACTGTGGTGCCACGAGCTTTATTAATGTACGTTTACTCCCGAATTATAGTTACAAAAGAACGCAAGTGCGTGCTCTTCACTTGAGCGCGGATACGACTCTGATACCTCACAATATCGGCGCTTACGGTGACGCCCTCGCTTAGTCAACAGTTTCCCCACTCTTACATAGTTTAGTTTCGCAGGGGGGATCTGTATGAATATATTAACATATAGAAAACGCTTAAATTGCTCGCGAGTATGTCAACACTCCCACTATTTGAGTGTTTTTGGTACACCCTTAACTATGTTGAGATTAGATTGTTGGGATTCAAATTTGTCATTCACAAGGGCTTTTGTTAAAATATCGGCGCACTGATTATTTGTATTTACATATATGGTGTTAATTACACCTTCTCTCACCTTTTCGCAGATGAAGTGATAACGAACATCGATGTGTTTGGACCGGCGATGAAATTCCGGGTTTCTTGTCAATTTAATGCTACTTTGATTGTCAATATATAAGAAAGTCGGTCCATCACATCCATGCCCGATATCTAACAACAGTTTACGCAGCCATAGGGCCTCTTTCGTCGCTTCACTCGCAGCTATAAACTCGGCTTCCGTGGTACTGAGACGGTGCTTTGTCGCTTTGAAGACCAAGCCACACAGTTGTCATTTACAGTAAAAACATATCTGGTAGTCGACTTATGAGTCAAATGATCTCCCGCGTAATCAGCGTCTGAAAACCCTGTTAGTTTTTCGGTATGACGATTGTCTGAGAACTATAAACCGAATGTTGCCGTACCTTTTACGTATCGAAGAATACGTTTCGCAGCAAGCCAATGCATTTCGTCGTAGTTGTCTGGGTACCTACTTACCACACCCACAACGTACGCAATATCAGATCGCGGGATAATGGCGAGGTATAAAAGCGATCCTACGAGTTCACGATAAGGCACGTGTAACTTGGTCCTCTTAGCGGGAGCATTCAACCTGCACTGTGAATCAGCCGGAGTTTTCACAGGATTCGCGTCTAACATTTTAAATTTCTCTAATACCCTGCTGATATACGATTTTTGATTTACAAAAATAAAGCCTGGCTCATGAGTTATCTCCATGCCTACGAAAAAGTTCAAATCACTGAATGTAACATCAAAACTTGTTTTGAGGGTATCGACTATCTTTGTCAAGACTTTACGATCGCGACACAACAACAAACCGTCGTCAACATAGAGTGCGAGATACACTTTGTTTTCTTCGAACGTGGATGTGTACACACATTTGTCTGCGCTACTCGGCGTGAAACACATTTTTCTAATGAAATTATCGAATTTCTCGTTCCAACAACGCCCTGCCTGTTTTAGGCCGTAAATAGCTTTCTTTAATTTTAATACAATATTTTCACCTCGTATGCCAAGGCCATCGGGAATTCGCATGTATATGCTTTCGTTGAGTTCGCTATTTAAGTACGCGGTGCTCGCATCAAACTGAATCAAACATAGACTTTCATGAACGGCGACGGATAACAAGGTCCTTATAGATTCATAACGGACGACAGGAGAGAAGATCTCGTCATAATCGATATCGGGTTGTTGGGAGAATCCTTGGGCGCATAGGCGTTCTTTATATCGCCGCTTGCCCTCGGATTCCACATTTTTAACTTTAAATACCCACTTAAAGCCGATAGAGCTTCTCCCCTCGGGCAATTTTACTACGTCCCAGGACTTATTCTTTGCATGAGCATTCAACTCTTCATCTATAGCTTTTTGCCAAAGCATTGAATCGTCACGGCTTAACGTGTCCCGGTAATTCTTCGGTACATCATACAAGCCACTACATTCAACAGCGCAAACGTATCTGTTGGGGGCATGCAAACTTTCACGAGATCGCAACTCATACCCACCTCGATTGTCGCTCCCTTCGCCATTGCCATGTACAGTGTGATAATCATCTGATTCTACAGAATCCCCATCAGCATCGCACGTGGACGCGGACACGGTTTCATTACCTTCTACGATTTGAGGTTGATTCGCTTTCTCCGATACTTTGTCAATGGGAAACCAAACGCCGTCGTTTTTAGCATTTTTAAAAGAATCCTCGTTAAAGAAGACGTTTCGCGACACCGTTATTCGACCCGTGGCAACGCTGATGAGTCTGTAGTTCTGTGAATCATTTGCGTAGCCCACGAAACTCAGTTTTTCTGACTTTGGGTCCCATTTTTTGCGATGTACGTCGGGAACAAGCACGTAGGCGTCGCAACCGAAAACACGCGCATGTGATACGTCGGGCTTCTTATTAGTCCACAATTCGAAATTGATCGATTCAAAAAATATACGGCAGTATTGACAGCTTCGCCCCAAAGATATTTTGGTAAGTCATGTGCTAAAAGCATTGTTCGCGCGCTCTCGACAACGGTACGCATTTCACGCTCCACTCGTCCATTTTGTTCGGGGGTGTACGGTGCTGAGGTTTCGTGTTTTATACCCCTCGAGCGCAAGAATTCCGAAACCTCGTGGTTTACATATTCCGTTCCGTTGTCGGAGCGTATAACCTTAATCTCTTGATTAAAGTGGTTTCGAACGTAATTTATGTATGCCTTTAGGACCTCGGGGACATCGCATTTATGTTTGATAAGGTAAACAGTGCGGAAACCAGTTGCTTTATCTTTAAAAAAAATAAAAAATCTCGCACCGCCTATAGACCGCGTCTCCATGGGACTGCACAAGTCCGTGAATATGACCTCCCCAGCAGCGAGGTGGGCACGATTCTCAACGGTCTTAAATGGAAATTTGAACTGTTTACCAAGTGGACAGCTTACACAAAAGAACTCGGATTTGTGACTGAATTTAATGCCAGATACTACGGAACTCTCTGCCGCCGTCTTAAGAGAGCCCGTGTTTATGTGACCGAGGCGCTCGTGTCAGGTTTGTATTGACATCGACGCGGTATTTACTTCGCGCTTTGACCCGGACCTGATGAGCATACGCGACAGATTGTTCGGTAACTTCGCCCCCTCGGCGATCAGGACGTTATCTTTGGAGTGAATTTTGGCCCGATCGCCGGTGAAAACAATCGTCTGACCGAGGGATGTACAAGTCCCGGCTGAGAGCAAATTTCTTTTTAGTGCCGGGGCAAAAAACACGTTGTTGATCTCCCCTTTAAGCCATTTTCCATCAACAAGACGTGTGATTGGAATTTTTCCAATTCCTTCAACCCTCAGTACCGAGTTGTCCCCCAAGTAAACATTTTCATTCCTTAAGGGAGCGAACTCCGAAAACCAGTCGCGCCTGCAAGAGTAGTGGCGCGAAGCACCGCTATTGAGAAGCCACAGCTGCTCATCACAACCCTCACGGGACGAACCGGCATCGCGATCCAACAGCAGAGAATTCGAGCTAGCCTCCGACAACTGTTCACCTCCAGACGCCACGACAAAAGCACTAAAATTTGCGGAATCACTGTCCGACGCAACATATGAATTATCGCGCGTTTCGGCATTCGGACTATCGTTCTTTTCCAGATTTTTCTTTTTGAAACAAAATTTCGCGATATGCCCTCTTTTCTTACAAAAATTACACTGTATGTTTTTCTTCGATTTATTCACTATACCTTTTGTTGAATGGGCTTGTTCACCGCTGTTGGATATACTCGATGCTGCTAAAGCGGCGGCCACCTCATCTGCGCTGGAGAGACGACTCTCCTCTCGAATGATCCTTTCGCGTAGATTGGCCAGCGTCTGATTTGCCTCGGCCATACTGTCCCATGCCGATATGAAGGCGTTGAATTTCGGCGGGAGAGTGCCCAGAATCTTGGCCATGATCATGACGTCAGAAACGTTCTCGCCGACATCTTTTAATTGATTGGCAAGGTTTTCGATCTTGGCCATGTGCTGAACTGCTGATTCTCCGGGTGCCATTTGATGTTCGTGGAACTTTGTCGTGAGAGTCAATTTATTTGCGGCACTTTTTTGCTCATGGATGCTCGACAGCTTCAGCCACATTTCGCTAGATGCGGTGCACGTAATTAGATATTCAAGCTGGTTATAATCCATGGAAGAAGACAAAATAAACATGGCTTTCGCGTCCCTCTTCTCCCATTCCTCAAGTTTCGTCGTTTCAGTATCCACCGGCCTTCTCTCTTTTCCTTCGACGATAGTCAGTAGGCCCTGTTTTCATCTGAAACTTCCATAACTGGAAATTTTGGCCATTGAACTTCGCAATGTTTCTTAAGTCTGATGGATCGGCCATTTTAAGATGCTCAAGTGAGGCGAAGCCAAAGGTTCTGGCTTGCAAAAAAAAAGCAAAAGTAACTTCACAGGAAAACAAAAGAAAAAAAAAAACTCGTGGAACAAAGTAGAAACACCAAGCTTCCTGGGCCCATAACCTTTTGAGAGGAAGGAAATAAACTGTGGTGCCACGAGCTTTATTAATGTATGNTCCGCCTCGCATCACGCAAGCCGTGAGCGCACCTCCACCACGTCTGGCTCGACCTGGACCAGGAGGGGCTCTGGCTCATCCTAGACCCACACTACTATGCACACACTCACACTCCGTCGCCAATCTCACACACTACTATACTCTCTCTCTCTCTCTCTGCTCAACGATGCCTCTCTCTCTCTCGACTCTTCAATCTACCCTTACATACAACAAAACGCGCGAACAATGGTGGCACTCCCAAGCATGCACCTCGCGGTCTCTTGTACACCTCGTCTTATCAACCCAAACTCTCTCTCTCTCTCTCACACTGTCTACACTACTCTCTCTCTCTCTCTCTCTAGCCTCACCTCCTGGTCAAACTTCCACGAGTCCAACCAGGCGCGATGTCGTCCGGCGTCCTCGAGCGGGTCGTTCGTCCTGCGGCTTTACCTTTTCTCTTCTCTCTCTCTCTCTCTCTCTCTTACCCTCTTCTTCTTTTCTCAGTGGCCGTAGTCCTCGACCTGGACACCTCGTCGTCCTGGGAGAACACAGCAGCTTCCCGACTCGCATGCACCCTCCTCTCTCTTCTCTCAACACTCTCCACACCTTCTCGATAACTCTCTCAACTCTCTCTCTCTCTCTCTCTCTCTCTCTCTCTTTCAACACTCACCACGAAACCCCGCAAAATCACCGAAGCTCTCGCAGCTCGCTCTTAAGCGTGCAGCTCGAAGCCAGAGATTAGTAGGGAGATTGCTGACTGCCATGCTATGGAGTGTGCCCACTTTTTTCCAGTGGTTCGAGTGCCCCGCCGCGGCCAAGCGGCTGAACCAGGCGCACGTTTTTTTTTTTATTTGAGAAGCACGGTAGGGGTATGAGAAGAGTGGATTCGCGTGGAAATGTCCATATAGGCGCATATTTTGGAGACGCATGGAAGGGGTATACCGAATGTGCGCCTACGTGGAGAGAAGTGAAAATGTCGGCTATATAGCTGTATATATCTGAGCGCACAGCCAAAGCAAGCGACGACACGAGTTTTTCTTTTTTGAGAGTCTTTTGACTCTGCAACCAAGTACATGCTATGTATATATTTAACTGACTTGCTCTCGCTCTGGCTTCAATGTTATCTATAAATCTTATTTAATTAAATCGTGGAACTAAATGCTCATTAATTACATACACAGAATTTTGATTTCGATACATTATTTTTTAACTCTCCCGTACTCTTAACATTCCCAAATCCATTTATGTTTTCAAAAAATATATAGCTTCAACTATTTTTTAAGGTTTTCAGTACAGCTTGAACCACTAATTTATTAATTTCACACATCCTAACTGCTGTAAACTGTAGGACAAGCTCCGGAGGATATCCATCAACATATGTGACTTTGAAAGGGATATCTTTCGTTCTTCGGATCGCTAAGATGGTTAAGGCTTATGCCACTTCGTAGATTGTTTTGCTCTTAAGGGTTCAAATCCACATCATGGTAGATATTTATTTTTTTTTTTTAAATTTATATCAACTCATATGTAAACCTTAAGTGTGTTTTTATACAATATATGTATTAAATAAATTTGAATTGTTTTTATTCAAGAAACCTCGCTCACCACCCACTCCCTAACCTTCATAATAATTTCCAATTTTTAGCAAGAAAAATGGTATTAGCGTAAGCCGTATTTTTGCATTTTTTAATTCATGGATTTTCACAGCTGATAATCAGGGGAGCCCCCTTAATTTTCACTCCGCTAAAAAGAAAAGAAATTACCGACCAAGCAATGTCGGTAACATCTTTTCTCTGCGAGAAAATAATTTTTTTTACCATCCTAGCAACATATAAACTACACGCGCCTTTTTCGGCTTATTGGGTCACATGCAAAAATTATTGTTACCGACCAATGATGGTAATTATACTTAAATCACGCGCGAAACTCGTACTGGGTTATGTTGGTTATTATATTTTTAAATTACGCGTGAAACTCGTGTTGGATTATTGGTCCATTCTTCCACCTCTCCCGTCACGTGACCCCGGGGAAAAACGGTCCCCGGCCATGCCCCCAGCGCCAGCCGTATGACATATATCTATGTCTGCCGCGTGACATATATCTATGAAACTGTCTGGAAAAAGCTTTCCCTTACTACTCGCGGGCAACAAACAAACCTTCAAAATTTTCTGCAAAGTAAGTAACTAGATACTTAGATACCTGAGTTAGTGGTCAATTCAGTTTGTCTTAATTCACCTGCGGGAAATCGACGCAAGGAGTGTCCGTTGTGTGGTCCATTATTACAGTTTATGTATTGATACCTCGAATACACATTGTCACTCGCCATGGTTGCGTAGTTAACGTAACGTACCAACGAGTAGAAGAAAACCGAAGAAGCAAAATACTGTATAAAACAAACTAACAACTCTAAAAAGTATTCACTGCATGCAAATCTGTGTGCAAACACGATGTATCGATAGCAGACGTGCATCAACGAATATCGCGTGCTCGACTGGTACTCGATGCGTGCTAATAGCGCTGCATGCCTCACGTAGAGACAGTCAAAACAACAACGCCTCGACGCACCTGTGACGAAAACAAAGGCTGTATAGCTGGGCGCGAACGGCTGTACTAATTCTTACTGGACTGCATACATTTTAATACGATTATATCTTCTGTATTAATCAATGCACATAATTACTGCTCTTCATGATAGCTTATTTCGCAAAATGTATCGCTTGCTGGTTAAAAAAATCGTATAGTAAATATTATTTTTAACTATTAAATAATAGTCGCGCCTGCAAGAGTAGNATCAGTTTAGAGTTCATCAAGGCAGTGAGAATTAAAACTCCAATATGTCTGATGTTTATAATATCTGAGCCTGATAAGGTTAGCGTTAAGACCGACAAAACGTTGCTCAAGATAACATCAGACATTTCGGAGTTTTTGTCCTTGCTCTTTGATTAGCTCTTAACTGATCATGTGTGCTTAATACACTAACCTTACAAATCATTATGGAAACAACTGAGAGTATGACTACATGTTCAACAACATCAACTTGACTCACACAAATGATTTTAAACTATTATTGTGAGAACACAACCTCTGTTAATATAATGCCAAGTCTTACTTAGGGTACACATGCTCAAACATATTATTTAGTGGAGTTCTAACTATTAAAAAAAAACTTTTTCTTAAATGAAGTGCATGATTTGCTGAACTAATTATTTTTATTCATCATTATTTGAAATGAAATACGAAAAAAAACTTTATCTTGATTGTTTTTTCTGTTCAATTATAATGGTTTGTCAAAAATTGAAAAAGCATCTGTGTCTAAGCCTGAGGGTACGACACTACAGGTGTAAAACAAAATTTCCTACCGGTTTACGAAAAAAGATGCCACCCCTAAGTTACATAAATTAAGGTACAGTGTATATACACATGTACATATGTGCCCATTAGTATTCTCACGTTTATAATTTTGGCGACATAAAGAGAGGGCCCGATATTAATGTAACAAAAAAAAACTAGGATATTGTAAATAAGTTATGGGCATGTATTATTTTTTAATTATTTTATCAATAAGAAACCTTTCATATTTAGTACATGTGCCGTACCAGGTTAGAAAAGCAAGAAAATGGGCTAAGTCTAATAAATTTTGTATATAAAAAATCATGTATATTTTCATTTTAAGCAAGTGTATTTTAATTTTGCAACTCTTCTTATATCATAAAAGAATATTTCATGTGTATCTACTCATAAAATGTTTAAAAATCTTATCCTTACAAATTTTATGTAGAAAAGAAAAATTATTTTACAGCAAGAATAGACGTAAGTATCTTGGCATACTGCTTAAAAAATATTTGACAATCTTTGGTAGTTAGTAATTATATAAAAAACATATCATTGCAAAAATTTATCATTAATATTCGGAAGTTGAAATATCAATTCATCTGTTTTTATGTAGTAATGGTTTACTGAAAAAAAATCTTTGAAAATTTATTTTTAGTGCCGTTAAATACAACATCCCCTCTGAACTAAGGCGCGTATTTAGTGGCTCTTTCGCAATGTTACCTTTATTTCTCTAAAGTTAAAGTTTTGTAATATCTGAGCGCCAAAATAGTAGTTACCATCACTGGTGCACATCTCCGTCGGAGCCACTATTTTTTCTGATGACGCTTGCAAAGTAACACCCGAGGGACTTTAGTGACAACTGTGGCCAGCTAAAATATCAGTAGCAAATGCTTTTTTTCTTACCCTAGACGCAATAAATGTCTAAATGTTGCTTAGCAAGCACCTTTAGATCCGGTAAATTGTATGTTATCCATCTTCAACAGCCAGTCGTCAGATGAGCTTGCGAGCTCCAACTACAACAGAAAGCTTGTAACCCGTATAAAACCCTTAATACATTAAATGTTGAAATATCAACATAAAGAAGATGCATAACTAGTTACAAAATCTACCATGAAGTATCAAGAGTATCTTACCTCATTTGAATATGCGTGTATATGTAAACTTAAATTTGTCATTACAACTTATTACGATCACAGTCCTTGGGTTGCATTCAATTTATGTGAATGTGAGAAGAAATACAGGTAAAATATTG